ATACACACACACAATGGAATACTATTCAGCCAGTAGTAGAAACCCACCAGCCACTCCTTGGAAGGAAGACTGGGCAATCTACTTCCATAGAGATACCGCCTCAGAAACCCAAGGAAGGGTTCCTGTGAGTCGGAATTGACTCGATAGCAGTGAGTGAGAGAGTGTGAGTAGTAGAGATGAAGTCTTGACACATGCTGGAGTACGGATGGAGCTTGAAGACATTATGCTGAGCAAAATAAGTCAATCATGAAAGGACAATATTGTATGACCTCACCTGTAACCTCAGTGGTTACAAGGGGCGGGGCAGAGAAAGTAAAGGGGGTCAGTTAATGGTGATGGAAATATCACATCAATTAAGGGTAGGATTGCACAGACTATTACTGTAATTGCTGTCAATAAACTGTCCACCTGTAAAAAGTTGAATTGGCAAAAGCTGTGTGGTAGATATATTTGTAACAATAACCAAAAAAAAGTGAAGCTAAGTAACTAACTCCTCTGTGACAATGAGTATTCGTAAACTAATAAGAACAGTGGCCTCAACACATCTTAATGAATAAAATGGTGTATTTATTGCTATCTCTAAAGAATGTTTACCACCATCACTGGATTCCAATAGGATTTAACATCCAATTTTAAGTTACAACATGACATATAACCCTACAGTACACATAACCCTCAAAACAAGGCCCAAATCCCTGATGACTGTTAAGCTGCAGAAAACAGAACACAGAGGCACATGATCACACTTGCCTCAGATGCACAGACACACTTCGGAGACACTGTGGTTCAGATCCAGACAACCGCAATCAAGCAACTATTGCAATAAAGTGGGTCACACATATTTTTGGTTTCAAAGTGCATATAAAAGTCATGTTTACACTCTATTGCTGTCTTTTAAGTGTGTAATAAATTATGAAAAAATATGAAATATTGTGAGACCAACCAAAATGTAACACAAACTGAGCACACGCTGGTGGGAAAATGGAGCCAAAAGACTCGCTCACTGCAGGATTGCCACAAACTTTCAATTTATAAAAAACACCATATCCACAAGCACAATTAAGTGAAGTGCAATGAAACAAGGTTTGCTGTCCCATGGAATCATATGTGACTTCCTTTTCCAGAGTACTGAAAAGCCTATGTGGGGCAACATTACTGCTACAGGAATAGACAAAGACACACGAGGGAGAAAGTGATAATTATTTCGACCCTGCGTATTACATGCAGCAAAACACTATCTACTTCTAATCTGTGCTAGGACTCCGCAGTCACAGTCAAGTCTAGGATATAACAGAGACAAGATAAAAAGAACAAGTCAAGGACTGTTGAAATAACACAGGGGTTTTGATGGGCATATTAATGTCTGCAAATGGCCTTGTTACCGAAATTCTAAGAACAACATCAAGGCTTGCAACAGCCAAAGTAAAGAGAAACTCTGGGGCAACCAAATGCAGATGCGAACCCCAGCTATGACAATAATTTGTATACTTTCAAAACTTTAGGAAAGTTATCATAGAAAAAGCATATTTACCTATATTTTGTTAACAAAGGGTCAACCATCATTTCCCTGACCAGCATTCCATCAGTCAGAAACTGAAAAATAAAAACACAAAGTTTCAGAAATAATTCACTTATTCTGTATCTTAGTAATCTCTTTTTTACAAAAAGGCTCAAGTGCAACTAAATTCATACAACCTCTTCCCAACCATGTATACAACTCCCCAAAAAGACGGTAAGGAAATACCCAATGTTTTAGCACTAGACCTGGCCACAAACTACGGTAAGGAAATACACCAACGTTTCAGCACTAGAACTGGCCACAAACTGAATGTCAAACACGGGATCCAGGGGCTTGCAAATGTCTTAGCAGAACTCACCTGTCTGACCAGTGCCCAAGCCCTACTTCCTCTGGGCCTTGACTACCAGTGTACAGATGACCAGGCAATAATGACAACAAGGGCGTTCTGTGAGTCTGTCAGTCATTCTTCAAAGTTCCCAGACTATAGACTTACAGCTCTTGAGGTTATTAACCTCAACTTCAAATGATATTATTTTAGGGTGACTAATGTGGGAAAGAGAAGCTGAAGAAGCCCTGGTGGCACAGTGGTTAAAGTGCTCGACTGCCAACTCAAAGTACGATGGTTTGAACCCACCACCTGCCTCCTGGAGGAAAGATGTAGCAGTCTGCTTCCACAGAGACTACAGCCTTGGAAACCCACGGAGCAGTTCTATTTGGCTCTATCAGGTCGCAATGAATCAGAATTGACTTGACAGCAACAGGTTTAGTTTGGTTTTGGTCTGGATGGGCTTTGGGCTAAGAACATGGGCCATGGTATCAATCTGCTGGACTTCAGATCCTGGCCCTATGCCTAACTAGCTGAACCTAAGGCAAGTTACTTCTCCTTTCTGAGCCTGATTCCTCATTTGTAAAATGGAGGTAATAAAAGCTACCTCACAGGGTTACTGTAAGGATGAAGTAAGATAATGCAGGTGAAGTATTCAGCACAGGGCCTAGCCCACGGACAGTGTTCAATGAAGGTGAGCTATTATTACTTAGGATTAAGAATGTTTATAAAATGTTTTATAACAACTGGATGTTGTCACTCTCACCCCAAAACAAACACAATACTTTAACAAAGCTAAATATCTCCTTCATGTGTTATACTTCAGTGTTTTCATTTTTCTGCTTTAAGAGCAGGATGCATTTCCATCATATTTTTCTTGGTAACTGGTACCAGCTGACACATAACACACACGGAGTGTGAAGTGAGAATACTGCTAAGCTCTCGGAAGTTACAACAAAATAAAATACAAAATATTATTGTGTGTGAAAGACTCACCAAGAATCATTTGGTAGTCTAATCACTGAAAATTATTTGAAAATAGCTAGTTTGAGTATATCTGACAGTATAGGAGAAGACGGGAGCTCTGGTGGCACAGTGCCTAAAGCATTTGACTGCTAACTAGAAGGCTGGCGGTTCAAACCCACCAGCTGCTGCTCGGAAGGAAGATTGGGCAATCTACTTCTGTAGTGATAGCACCTCGGAAACCCAAAGAAGGGTCGCTATGAGTTGAATTCGACTTAATGACAGTGAGTTTCCTTTTTTTTTTTCGATTATAGGAGAATATTCCCTTTACCCAGCAAAATGAATGTCAAAGGTAACAAAATGCAGAAATTTAGAAAACAAGGTCTGTATTTTCACAAATAATTACATTGTTCACTTATTCTATCTGATTATTTTCAATTTTCCTCTGCTGCAAATTGAAAGGTAACTGTGATTCTACTAAGCAATGTCCATTTTATCCTAGCATTTTCACTCAGTGTTTTAAACTACCATCTGATTAGACTGATTCCAAACTGTGGTATATAATCAACATTCTGATGAGCTGATTATTCACTGATTAGTATTGATACTAATCATTTTAATACTTGTACCTAGGCCAGTGGACACACATGTACAATCTATTACCATATAAATATGAGAAAGTTCTAACAGGTACAAACAGCTGTTGTAAAACAAGCACTTTATCAGTTTGTACTATACCTTGTACATATTTTTAAGTTCTTTACAGGAATGTTCCTGTATTTAGATAGCTACATGAATCAGTGGGGAAACAATAAAACACACACGAGAAAAGATGGCTTCAAGTTTTATCACCAGTGGGCATATAACCTTGAGCAAGATATTCAACCTCCAGGTCCTCAACCCCTTCCTCTGCAGAGCCATGGGCTTAGCCTGACTTCGAAGGTCCTTTCTGGGCTAAGATTCAAGGATGCTTTCGGAAGTGCTCTATACCAAGCAGACTGAATTCCCTGAGGGCCAGGATGAGTTTTAAATACCTTCTGCCATGGTATGCGTTTCCCATTCAGCAACAATGGTAGTCTTTTTTTAATTCTCAAAAATACCCTGTCCCTTATTTACAACAGGAAAACAGCTTCAGCAGTTCACCTTAATTCTTGTAGCCAGTGGATCAGTGCAGTCATCAAAGCGGATGCAGTAGCCCACCTCATGGCCCAGCACCGCACCTCTTTCCTCGGCTACTCTCCCTGCAACCTTTGGGAAGAAAGATCATGCTGAAAATAGAGACACAGAAATTACTGCACAGAGCACATACTATAGCAATTCTAAAGGTCATTTAATTTTTAGACAGCATGTGAACACAGCAGTAAATGAGAATTAAAGGAGCAGGTTATTGGACAGCAAGTGTGATAACCTTTAAAATTTATTAACTTCTATATGTATATACCTTACTTCCTTCTATAATGGATTTGAGGCAACATATAAGAGCATATACAATAAAAATGGCATCATGTAAAGATGTTATAGATCAAGATCAAGAGAATTACATACGAAAGCTGAGAGATCAAAGCCCAATGAGAAAACTGAAACACAGATATGGCAAAGTTATTTATGTTGAGCTACAAATTCAGTGCTAAGCTTCCTGGTGGCCAAAGCAAAGGGGGAACCAAAAGCAATTACAACATTTACTCTGTTCTAAAAGAAAGAGCCAGTCCCCTGTATTCAGCCATCAGAGCTGGGCTTAACATTGGTGCTATCTGCCCATCAGTGTTTGAGAAACTAAAGAGCAGATAAGGATTAGAAGTGTCTCTGCCCAATGACTTGAAATTACAGATCTCGGAGAACAAAACAGAATCAATCATTGAACAGCTGGTCTACCACTGGAGTAACACCATACAGTCTTTCAAAACAGCTTAATGAAATCAGAAATTCATCCTACACCGCTCTACCTCTGGAGCTGTGTGTGGAACACACACCCAGTAACCAGCATTTCACCAGGACAGTTTTGATATTGCTATTGTCTCAATTTTAATAATAAAGACTATCCTACTAGATCCTGGACAAAGTGGGAGAACAATGTGCAACAAAACTCAAAATCATTTAAAAAAAAAAAAAAAACCACTAGGTTTGCTGGTCTGATAGAGCCTGGTGGAACCCCTGAGACTATGGCCCCTAGCTGCCCTTCAAGTTTGGAACTGAACCCATTCCTGTGGCTTCCAGCCAAATAAAAGACAGGCATATGAGCTGAACATTACATTAAGTAGATACACTCCTTGGAGAGATCAATCATGGGAGAATAGCACAGGGAGACAGCTCAGGGGGCAGGAGTACATGGGAGGGAAGGATACAGGGAACAGGGAACTATGGGGAAGAAGTGGAAGGGAAGCTGTTGCACTGTTGGAAAATTGTAGTCAATGTCATAGGACAAACTGTATGTGAGCTGCTGTATGGAAAGTGAATTTGCTCTGCAAACTTTCACCCAAATCATAATAAAAATTAAAAAAGAAAAAAAAAGACTATCCTACTATACAACCTGGAAAACAGCACAGAGAATGTATGCAAAGAAATAGGAGCTTTTGGGGAAAACAGGTTTGTAAGAATGAACATAAATGAGTCGATCCTGTCCATAAAATTATAATCATTTTATGTTTCTATAAGATAAAATGCAACGTGGCTGTACTCATGGTTTCACTCTTCGTATACATTTGCCATGAGAAGTATGTGTTTCACTTTCAAACTACTATTGTATTATTATTATTTATAATCATATCACTTGGCATTTGAAAGAGAGCTCTGGTGGCACAATGCCTAAGGCATTTAACTGCTAACCAGAAGGCTGGCAGTTCAAACCCACCAACCACTCCTTGGAAGGAAAACTGAGCAATCTACTTCCGTAGTGATGCTGCCTGAGAAACTCCAGGAGGGGTCGCTATGAGTCGGATCTGGCTCGACAGCAGTGAGTTTGGTTTCTGTTTTTTTTGACATTTGAAAAAGGCCATCTTCTACTAGCTTTGAAGATTAAGGTGCACTTAGCCCAAGCCATGGTATTTTTTTAAATCACCTCGTATGCATGTGAAATGAATAAGGAAGAATGAAGAAGAGTTGATGCCTTTGAATTGTGGTGTTGGCAAAGAATACTAAAAATATCATGGACTGCCAGAAGAACAAACAAATCTGTCCTAGAAGAAGTGAAGCCAGAATACTCTTTGGAAGCGAGAATGGCCAGACTTCATCTCACCCACTTTGGTCATACTGTCAGAAGGGACCATTCTCTGGAGAAGGATATCACTGGTAAAGTAGAGGGGTCAGCAAAGAAGGGGAAGACCTTCAACAAGGTAGATTGACACAGTGGTTGCAATGATGGGCTCAAGCACAGCAAGGATTGTGAGAACGGTGCAGGAGCGGGCAGTGTTTTGTTCTGTTATACGAAGGTCACTTTGAGTCAGAGCCGACTCACCCCACCTAAAAACAACTACTACTGCTACCTTTTCAGAGACTTTTATCTCTACTGTTTAAGGTTTACTCCCAATACCTCATCAGTACATGGGGGAAATACTCTGTTTTGACAGAAATAAAACATACAGAGGAAAGGAGGAGACAAAGGAAAACCAGTTACTGAGCACCTACTAGGCACCAGGTGCTATGTGCAAGCATCCCCAGACTGCATCTCATTAAACCTGCACGCTGCCCATCAGGTGGGCAGGATGCCCTTGTTTTCACAAATGAGGAAACTGAAATCAGGGAGGCTTTGGGGCCTCCCTGAATCACAGGCCCAGTCGTGAAGACAAAATCAGACCATATAAGTCCACTACCCACACTCTTTACTAACTGCCTTGCAGAAAGATCAAGCAATAGCTTACACAATCTGTTCTTGGAGTTTGAGACTGTTTTCAATGTTAATCTGTACACACAGTACTTTAAGAGATGCAAAGTTTCAAACTTGACAGCTCTATTAATACTACATAGTTAATCTATACTCTGTCCTTCCAAGAGGCAGCTTGTGGTTTCATGGAAGCTGTCCAAGGCTACAAATTTGGAGCTAACTTAGCACACTAGTTCAGAACTGGGACTCCAAACCACAAACTGGAAAATGACTCTATTTTTCAGGTAACAGATTCATCTTTCAGTGCCTATAGAAGGCTAGCTCTAATGCTGCAGTCTAGTTTTTACACAAACACATAAAATGTTCACCAATAATTTCTAACTTGAAGACCATGAGAAAATGTACTTTGGGAAAGAAGATTACACAACAATTAAAACTAATAAGCACAGAACAAAAGTAACTTGGGGAAACAGAAATAATTGTCTAGGTAGAGATGGCAAAGTAAAGGCAGTTTTATGCCCACTTCCCTCTAAAACCTAATTAAAAACAACAAAAGAATTAAAACATACTATGAACAGGAGGTTCTGGTAAGATGGTGGAATAGGCAGACAGACTGCACAGACCCTCTTCAACAAAGAAAAGAGGAACCACTTAACACAGATACAGAAGATAATCCTGGACCCCTGAGCTTTGAAGGGAAGGATACAGAAGTGGACTACACTCCAACTAGTAGAAGAACCTGCACGAAAACACTGAAAAAGACATACGGAGCTAGGGTTTGTCAGATATCCTGATGGCACAGACAGCTGGGATATTGCCAAGAGGTGTTAGGGCCTAAGGATTAACCTAAAAATCAGCCCTGCTAGCCAGGGGCTACATTAAGGACTGCACTGTTGGCTGGTGAATAAAAGGGGAAGGAGCGAAGAGGGAGACGGGTTGAGTTGTGGACTTTTGCCTGTCTGGAAGGTGCAGTCATTTTGAATGTTTACAAGCGGTATGACCATTTTGGATATTTGATGCAACATCATTCTCCCAGATTCCAGAAACTTAAGAATAGGCTCCAAGCAAACATGGGTATAGGGACGGATAGATGGGTGAACAAACTAAACAATTATGTATGTCTAAATGGAGAGTGTATCCAAGATCATATACAGGGTTGGCAGACAATGGGCCTCTCGAAGAGTATGAAGGGATGGACACTGGGAGGAGGTAACCATGGGGAGGAAGTGGGAGGGGAGCTGCTGCATTGTAAATTTTGGTCAATGACATGAGACAAAGTATATGTGAACTGCTGTATGAAAAGTGAATTTACTCTGTAAATCTTCACCCAAATCCTAATAAAAAAAAAAAAAAAAGAATAGGCTCCACCTGCTGGGAACCACAAAACACTCCAGACGCCAACAACTGGAAGGTGTGATACTCCCCTTGTTACTCTTATACTCCACACCCTGTTGGTGAATGGAGATGCAGCCCTCCCTCACTCCCACCAACTTTCTGGGCCAGCAGGAATTCCATTCCACTCAGTGTTCTCTGATGGAGCCTGGGTGCCCTGCCTTGCCCAGATTTTTTTTTTTTTTCAGTTTTGCTTTTGTCTGTTTTAAAATTATTACTATTATTATTATTCTTTTTTTGTTCATCCTTTTTATTATTCTTCTTTATTCTTCCCATCCCAGGCTCTAGTTTTCAGTTTTTTCTCTCTTCGCTGTTCTGGGTCCCCATTTTTTTCCTTCCTGTGGTTAACCCATTCCTTTTCTTTTTGCATTTTTCCCCTTTTTTTCCTCATCACTCTCCTACTCTATCTCATTTCTCTTATTGCCCCCTCCCCAGATATTACAGGTTTTTTTCTTTTTTCTTTTTTGGTGATTGTCCCTGCAAGTTTATGCAGTGTGTTTTTTGTCCACTTGCTTTTACTTTTTTGATGGTTTTTCAATCATTTTTGGCTGAGTGGGAGACAGCAGCTGTGCCCATATGATGCACCCACACTTGCATCTCCTGCAGCTCCACTTACAAAGTGAGAGCCACCACTTCCTTCTCCACCAACTGGCCAGCAATAAAAGATGACCAAGAAGAGCCTGACTCACCCATAACTGCTCTTCACAAACAGTTAGCACATATCTAAATACAACAACGTCACAAAGTCTCAGAGACAAAAGAGTATCACAGTCCACACAAAGAAGCAAGATAAAGTGGTAAAAACAAAGGAGCATGATACAGACCCAGAACATATCCCTGAGGAAGAAGCAGCATTGGAACTCCCTGATAAGGAATTCAAAAGAATTATAGTTAGGTACCTTCAAGGGAATGAGAGGCAGATCAAGCAAAACAATGATAAAATTAAGGAAAACACAGACAAAACCCTAAAACAATTTCAGAAGAAAATACAAGAACAAAATGACAAAATAAATGAAAAATAGGAAATGATACAAAATCT